CCAATGAAAGCAGTGCATTTACACGCGGCCCAGACGGGAAAGCCCTCAGCCTCCGTCACTGCCAGTGGCAAACGTAGCGACTGTTCCTTGCAGCAAGTTTGCCCACAAATAGGAGCGGAGCCAGGAAACACACGGGCCCTGGGCTGCCCAGCGAGGGGAGAAGGGAGCCTTTTCCAAGACGAGGCCGGGCCCAGGAACACGGCTCGCTAGCCTGGGGAGGAGGGCAGGCCCCGCTCTCCATCCCGGCTACCTCCTCCCCATGCGACCCACCCCTGCATCCAACGCCCCACTGGGTTTGTGGACCTCAAGCCTGTGCAGGCCCATGGGATGCAATGGTGAGCAGAAGGAATAGACCCGCATCTCCTTCTCAGATGGCACAGGGACGGGCAGGGGAATGGCACGAGACTTGGGACATACAATTTGAGGAACCCTAGGAAACACGCCCAAGCCAAAGGATTCCTTTTCTAGACACCTTCAATTCTTTTAACAAGCAGGCAACTTTTCCACTCCAAGCTTGACGGAACCTGAGTAGACAATTCACAAAGATCAGGAGCTAGTCTCAGTCAGGGCATCTTGTGTGCCCCAGCCTGGGCCAGGCTCCGCCATGCCAGGTCTCATGGTCAACTGCACAAAAAACCCAGCTGGGGGAGGTGGGCCATTCCTGACACCACCCTCTTGGCCATGTGTCAGGCACGCTCTCCTTGAATACTTTCAGCGACAGCGGGCTCACTGCCCGCATGCTGTGGTTCTCACTGTCGGACACGTAGGGCGGCATCCACAAGTGGGGTGAATGCTGGTGCTGGGCCCACACATGCGTGTTTCCTTACCTTTCGCTTCAGACAAAAGGCCGGCGCCCGCCACTCACCTCTGTCCCTAGTGGACGCAGACCATTTACTAATTTGATGGGGATGCTGCTGCATTAAAAGCGCAGGCTTCACCCCGCCAGCCGTCTGCATCCTTAAGGGCATTTTCCATCCTGTGCCTTGGCCCATCCTCTTCCGTGGGAACTTTTATCAGCTGTCCACGGGCAGCAGCAATGCAGCACACCTGCATGTACGTCCCCCCTCGTATCATGAGCATGCCTGCAGCCCACCCCGGCTGCCTGGCCGGGAGAGAAGTAGTTGTGCAGGACTGAATGTCTGGTCCCCCACATGGCTGCAGCTCTCTCACGTGCAGCACTCTCAGAAAAGGGAGCCCCAAGCACCGAGTGGACAGTCAACACCCTGCTGCTGCAGCCCGTGTGCCTGTTTGTGCTAATCCTCTCTGGCCCTTCCCCCTCCAAACCACAGAGGCCCAGAGACCCGGCGCTGGCCCACGCTACTTCGGAAAGTTGGGGCAGCAAAGACAGAGGTTGGGGCAGAGTGTCCTGCAGAACTGCAGAAATGAGCTAACACTGTCTCCATCTCCAAAATAAGGAGACGGAGGACAGCCGAGAGCTACAGTTAAAAATAAACATTAAGACAAAGATGGAAGACAAAATCAAAAAACGCATTTCTTCCTGAGGCTTCTAGACATCTTGTGCTCCAAGTAAGTCATCCCATCATGCAGTCTCAGACTTCTGGAATGTTCTTCAGGAGCCCCCACCCAGGACTCCCCGAGACCAGCCACGAGGCTCTGTAGACGACAAGGAAGAGGTTCAGAGAGGCCGGGCGAGCTGCCCAGGGTCCCAGACCCCCTGCCTCCTGCCACAGGTGTGACTGTGTCAGAGCCCACGTGCCCCTCAACAGCTGGCCTTTCCTCCATCCGCCTTCAGACTCTGCTCCTCTACAGGGGCCTTCCCGGACAACCTAAAATGACCCGGGGGCTCGTGCTGGCCACGCTCCTGCTGAGTGCACATGAGGCTGGATGTACTTGACGTGGATTTCACTGCGGAAGAGGGAGAGATTGGTAAGGGAGAACTGCTAGGCCGGCTGGGCCGAGCAGGGTGGACGGCAGAGAAGGGGCGTCTAGTTCTCGGTGGGAATCTGTCCACCTTCCCACCCCTCGCCTTCCCAGAGGACAGGGAGCTCCTTCTGAGTCCATGGACAGATGAACATGCAGAAGGAACGATTAGATGGAGGCCGCCATGGCAGAGAAGGGGCGTCTAGTTCTCGGTGGGAATCTGTCCACCTTCCCACCCCTCGCCTTCCCAGAGGACAGGGAAGCTCCTTCTGAGTCCATGGACAGATGAACATGCAGAAGGAACGATTAGATGGAGGCCGCCAAATCAGGTCGTTTCCAGAATGGAAGAATGTCACCCTAAGTGAACCGCAAACTCTCAGCCTCCTAGACTGGTCCTTCTGCCACCAGCTCAGCTCCACACAGCCCAACTCCAGCATCTGCCCCCTGGTAATCCGCAAGTCCCCAACTCCTGCAGCCCCATGCCTCCCCTGCCCTCACCGCCCACCACGAGGACCCGCATGGCTCGCCCCATGCACGGAACCGCCTCTCTCGAGCCTCAGACTTGCTAAGTCTTTATTTGCCATGTCTTTTGACAACTGCCTGACAACAGGCTGAAAATAATTTCCCTTCTTGTATAAAAAAAGGCTCTTCGCACATCAGAACATTTCAAGACGCTCTGAAGTCCTGGCAGGGAGGATGTACCAGGTGTGACAAACATGCCTGGCGAGACATGGATGTGCCAAGGGGGTTCAGAAAAACTGCCCGTTTCGTGGTGACGTAAGCCACCCCCACTTGCTGGGGCTTTAGGGCAGCTGTAGAGAAAGAGCCGACGCGGGAGCCCGGCCATCTGTTTCGGCACTGACTGTGGGTCTTAAGCTCTCTGCACCCACGGTCCGGTCAG